TTTGTCGCCATACGCCAGAGTGTATTAAGTTTTACGATTATTGGCAGCATTAACCTCAATTTTATTATTGTTTAAATGCATGCTCCAATTATAATCAGACCTTCTTCAACCGGATTATATAAATGTCACGCTCGCCAAACAAACGCACACACACCTACACATGCATATGTGACCGTCATCTTAATGGGTAAGCGAGAGCATTAAAATGACTTCAAATTAAAAATAACTAAAGCAAATTAAGGGGAAATCCTTTCATGGAAATTAATAATAATTGGATTTTTAACCTGGATTTTTTAAAAACTATTTTTTTGAGGTCCAAATATAAACTGGATTTTTAGAATATATTTTTTCCATGGTCCGAATAAAACCTGGATTTTAAAAATATATATTTTGAGGTCCCACAATAATCTGGATTTTTAAAAATAATTTTTTCGAGGCCCAAATAAAACCAGGATTTAAAAAAATATATTTTTTTTTCGAGGTCCCAACACAACCTGGACTTTAAAAAAAATATTTTTTCGAGTTCTAAACACAACATGAAATCTCTTAATATTTTTCGAGGTCTAAATTCAACCTGTTTTTTTTACAAATATTTTTTTGAGGTCCAAATTCATTATGGATTTAAAAAAAATTAAGTTCCAAATACAGCCTGTATTTAAAAAATATATTTTTTTCTGAGGTTTCAATACAATCTGGATTTGTAGAAAATGTTTTTCGAGGTCCAAATAAAAACTGTATTTTTAGAAAAAAAATGTCAAAATCAAAATAAAACCTGAATTTTTAGAAAATATTTTTCTAGCTCCAAATAAAACCTGTTTTTTTTACAAAAGTATTTTTTCGAGGTCCAAACACAACCTGAATTTTTTTTACAAATATTTCTTCCGTGTCCAGATACAACCTGGATTCTTTTGAAAATGCTTTTTAGGCAATCCGTATTTTTAGAAAATATTTTTAGAGGTCCAAATAAAGCCCGAATCTTTAAAAGAATATTTCGAGGTCCCAAAAAACTGGATTTTCTAAAACATATATTTTTCGAGGTCAAATTTAATCAGGATATTTAAAAAAAAATTTGACGTCAAAATAAAACCTAGATTTTTAAAATTTTTTTCGAGGTCCAAATAAAACCTGGATTTTTTTAAATATTTTTCGAAGTCGAAATTCAAACTGGGTTTTTTAGAAAATATTTTTTTCGAGGTCCAAATACAACCTGCCTTTTCTTATAAATACTTTTTCAAGGTCCAAATACAACTTGGATTTTTTTAAACATTTTTTTTATGGTCCAAATACTACCTGAATTTATAAAAAATATTTTTTCGAGGTCCACATAAAATCTGGAGTTTTTAAAAATATATTTTCGTAGTCCAAATAAAATCTGGATTTTTAGAAAATATTTTTTTCGAGGTCCAGATACAACCCGGATTCCTTTGAGAAATTTTTAGACGTCCAATAACAATCTGTATTTTTAGAAAATATTTTTTTGAGGTCCAAACATAACCTGAATTTCTTTACAAATATTTTTCCAAAGTCCAAATACAAACTGGATTTTTAAAAAATTATTTTTGAGGTCCAAATACAAACTGGATTTTAAAAAAATATTGTTTTTCCAGATACAAATACAAACTGATTTGTTTTTTAATAATTTTTCAAAGTCCATTTTTTAGAATTTGTTTTTTAAATATTTTTTTGAGTTCCAAATTCAATATGGATTTTTAAAAAATATTTTTTTCAAGGTCCAAACACAATCTGGATTGTAAAAAATATATATATTTGGAGGTCCCTACGATCGGGGTTTTTTTTAAAATATTTTTAAAAAACCTTGATATTTTTTAAATATTTCTTCGAGTTCCAAACACAACCTGGATTTTTAAAAAATATTTTCTTAAGTAAAAATACAACCTGGATTTTTAAAAAATATTTTTTTTTCGAGGTCCAAACACAACTTGGATTTTTAAAAAATATATTTTTCAAGGTCCAAATACAGCCTCGATTCAAAAAAATATATTTTTTGAGATTCAAATAAATCCTGGATTTTTTAAATATATTTTCGAGGTCTAAACAAAAACTTGATATAAAAAAAAAAAAATTTCGATGTTCAAATACAACTTGAATTCATAAAACATATTCTTTTAAGATCCAAATACAACCTGGATTTTTAAAAAAATATTTTTTTTTCGAGGTCCACCCACAACCTGAATTTTTTAAAAAATATTTTTTCGAGATCCAAAAACAACCTGCATATTTTTAAAATATTTTTCGAGGTCGCAATTCAGTCTGGATTTCAAAAAAATATTTTTTCGAGGTCCATGAAACAACCCAGATTTTCTAAAACTAATTTTTGTTTTTTTGGAGGTCAAATTTACTCAGGATTTTTAAAAAATATTTTTGCGTGGTCCAAAAAAACCTGTATTTTTCACAAATATTTTTCACAAGCCCAAGATTCTTCTGAAATTGGTTTTAGATGTTTTTTTTTTTTTTGCTAATATAAACATAATTTTTTAATTTTTTTTTTTTTTTTTTTTTTTTTTTTTTTTTTTGATGTCAAAACAAAGCCTGGATTTTTTTTACAAATATTTTTTCGAGGTCCACATAAAACCTGGGTCAAAATACAGCCTGGGTTTTTTTAAAACATATTTTTTTAGGATCTGGATTTAAAAAAAATATTTTTTCGATGTCCAAACGCAACCTGGATTTTTTAAAACATATTTTTTGTGGCCCAAAATAGTCTGGATTTAAAAAAAAAATTTTTTTGAAGTCCAAACCCAGGTTATAGTTATTACAAATATTTTTTCGGAGTCCAAATACAACCTGGATTTTTAAAAAAATATTTTCTTAGCTCCAAATACAACCTGGATTTTTTTAAAATATTTTCTCGAGGTCGAAATAAAACATGGATTATTTTACAAATTTTTTTCAAGGCCCAAATAAAAAACCTGGAGTTTTAAAACATATTTTTAGAGGTCCAAAAAAAAACCCGGATTTTCTATTTTTTTTTTTTTTTTTTTTTTTTTTTTTTGGAGGTCAAATTTACTCAGGTTTTTTAGAAAATATTTTTTCGAGGTCCAAATAAAACCTAGGTTTTTTAGAAAATATTTTATCGAGGTACAAATAAAACTTGGATTTTTAAAAAATATTTTTTCGAGCTCCAAAAATAAACCAGAATTTTTTAATACTCTTCGAGGTCAAATTCAGAGTGGATTTTTAAAAAATATTTTCTCGAGGTCCAAATAAAACGCAGATTTTTGAATTTTTTCCAAGATCCAAATACAACCTGGATTTTTTTAAAATATATTTTCTCTTAGCAGGTTTTTATTTTAAATGGCCTCAAAATTTTTTTTTCACAAAATTTCGCACCAAAATAAATAAATCAATAAAAAATAAATGGAAAAATCTCAGACTCTTGGATTTTAAATATTTTTCCTTTTCTGGAGGGGCGCGTATTAGTAATATTTCCTACAACATTGAGTATACGACCGAACTAGCTACTGGGCAATAGTTTCATTAACTTTTTTATTTTAAATTCAAGGTCTGTAAAAATATTTTTTTCCAAAAATTACCACCAAAATATAAAAATAGAAATTAAATATAAAAATCCTACCTTCGAAATACATTCCTTTTCTCTAGTGGAGCGTATTAGTAACATTGCCTACAACATTAAGTATACGACCGAAGTAGCTACTGGGCCAAAGTTCCCTTAGCATTTTTTTATGTTAATTCAATTTAGAAATAAATAAAAATAAATAGAAAAATCTCTGACTCCTGAGATATGAAATATTTTCCTATTTTCTACTATTTAATTATATGACCGTAGTAGTTCTTTGGCAATAGTTTCCTTAACATTTTTTTTTTTTAATTTAAGGCCTCCAAGAATTTTTTTTCCCCAAAAATGACTACCAAAATAAATGAATAAAAATTAAATAGAAAAATCTAACACTCCTGGGTTTTTAAAAACTTTCCTTTTGTCCAGGGGCGTATAAGTAATATTTCCTACAATATTAATTATACGACCGAAGTAGCTATTGGGCCAAAGTTTCTTTAGCATTTTTTTATTGAAAAAATTAGAAGCCTCTACAAATATTTTTCCCAAAAATTCGCACCAACAAAAAATAAATAAATAAAAATTAAATGCTCAAATATGGACTCCAGACTTCGAAATATTTTCCTCTTTTCTATGGGGCGTATGAGTAATATGTTAATTATACAAATGGAGTAGATATTGAACGATAGTTTCTTTGGCATTTCTTTTCTATTTAAAATTCAAAACCCCTTCGAATATTTTTTTTTTCAAAAATTCCCACCAATTAGTATTAGAAAAATCTCCTACCAACGGAATTGCTCATTTCTGTATCAGCTTTCTGCCTCCCAAATTTGGTAGTCGGTAGTACCATTTATCCACTTTTTCATGTCATCTAATTTGTGGTACCTAAGAGCAGCAAATATTTTTTGTTTATTCTGGCCATGACCAATATCTGCTATTCAGAGCCAAGCCATATTTTCATGCCAGTACCCAGGAAAACAAATTCAAAATCCAAAAATGTATTCAAGTGGCTTACAAGAGGATTTATTGCATGTGAGCGAACACCAGGCTGGAGAGAATGATTTTCATTTTCTTTTTTTTTTTTTTTTTTTTTTTTGACAAAGTCCATGATTTGCTCATCATTGGCTTCAAACACATGTCTGACATTATTGGCCTGGGTTCCCAAAAATAATTCTCCTTTTTTTCGGGGTGGGAAAAAAGAACATTGTCATGGGAGATTACAGTAATTATATTGATGCCATCATGCGACACGAAACATCTGTATGCATGTGTGTGCGTGTGTGTGGTAATAATCATAAACTTGTCGTCTTATTACAAACTGTCATATGGCCAAGAGGACCATCAGAAATGGGGAATATGAAACAGTTATGTTATGGCACAGATGTTGGGTTGATTAATTAATTATTAGGGAAAGAATTTCACTGGCAGGAATCTAATTTCAAATGAATTTTTGCTTTTCTTACAGAACCTTCACCACTCTATGATAACAATCATTATCATGAGGAATGTTTACGCTGCAATTCCTGTGGTCTGAATTTGACTGGGCGCAATCAGAAAAGGGCCAGACGATTCAAGGTAAGTAAAAAAAAACTAAAAAAATAAATAAAATCAGTTTCATGGGGCGTATAATTTATATTAATTTTGAGAGCCAATGGGGCGTATGAGCATTACGGAGCTCTATAACACTCATACGCCGTCTCAGACTTTTGAAATCGATATTTTAGAATTTCTTTGCAAAGAATTTTTTTCCGAGACACTTGACTTGGTTTTTTGTTTCTATAAAAGGCCTCAGAATTCCGGTAAGATGTTTTTTTTTGTGTATAGAAAAAATTACGAATTTTTCCAAAGAATATTTTTTACAAAAGAGAAAAATAAGAAGACCCTTGACCCGGTTTTTTCCTACAAAAAATCCTCAAAATTCCGGTCAGAGGGTAATTAAAGAAAAAATCCAGTTAGGGCAATACTGCGCATAATTAATATTAATTTTGGAGCCAGTGGGGCGTGTGAGCATTACAGAGCTCCATAACACTCATACGCTCTCTTAGAGCTTTGAAATCAATTTTTTTTTTAACTTTTTCCAAAGATTTTTTTTTCACAAAAAAAAAACCTGTTTTTTTTTTCTACAAAAAATCCTCATAATTCCGGTCGGAGGATTTTTTGTGTACAGAAAAAAATTTCGAGTTTTCCCAAAGAATATTTTTTACAAAAGAAAAAAAATACGAGACCCTTGACCGGGTTTTTTTTTCTATAAAAAATCCTCAGAATTCAAGTCAGAGGTTAGTTAAAGAAAAAAATCCAGTTAGGACAATACTGCGCATAATTAATAATAATTTTGGAGCCAGTGGGGCGTATGACCATTACGGAGCTCCATAACACTCATACGCACTCTAAGACTTTTGAAATTAAATTTTTAGAATTTTTTCCAAGACCCTAGACTTGTTTTTTTTTTTTTTTTCTATAAAAAATCCTCAGAATTCCGGTTCGGAGGATTTTTTGTGTATAGAAAAAATGTCGAATTTTTCCAAAAAATATTTTTTACAAAAGAAAAAAAAATAAATAAAATCTAAGACCCTTGACCCGGTTTTTTTCTACAAAAAAAATCCTCAGAATTAAGGTCAGAGGGTAATTAAAGATAAAATCCAGTTAGGGCAATACTCCGCATAATTCATATTAATTTTGGGAGCCAGTGGGCGTATGAGCATTACAGAGCTCCATAACACTCATACGCTCTTTTAAACTTTTAAAATTAAATTTTTAGAAATATTTCCCTAGAATTTTTTCGGAGTCCCTAGACTTGATTTTTTTCTATGAAAAATCCTCGAAATTCCGGTCGGGAAGTTTTTTGTGTATAGAAAAAAAATTCGAATTTTTCCAAAGAATATTTTTTACAAAAGAAAAAAAAATACGTGACTCTTGACCCGTTTTTTTTTATATAAAAAATCCTCTGAATTCAGGTCAGAGGGTAGTTAAAGAAAAAATCGAGTTAGGGCAATACTGTGTATAATTAATATTAATTCTGGGAGCCAGTGCGGCGTATGACCATTACGGAACACAATAACACTCATACGCTCTCTTAGAGTTTTGAAATCAATTTTTTTTAATTTTTTTCAAAGAATTTTTTCCACAAAAAAGTTCGAGACCCTTCACCTGGATTTTTTTATAAAAAAAATCGCAGATTTTTTGTGTATAGAAAAAAATTCCGAATTTTTCCAGAGAATTTTTTCCAACAAAAAAATTCCGTAACCTGTTTTTTTCTTCAAAAAATCCTTTAAATTCAGGTCAAAGGGAAATTAAAGAAACCGAATTCATTCAGGGCTATAATGCGTATAAGTAATATTAATTTTGAGAGCCAGTGGGGCGTATGGGCACTACGGAGCACAATAACACTCATACGCTCTCTTAGACTTTTGAAATATTTTTTGTTTATTTTTTCCAAATAATTTTTTCCACAAAAAAATCCGAAACCCTTGACCTGGATTTTTTCTATAAAAAAAATCTCAAAATTCGGGTCAGAGAGTTTTTTATTTATAAAAAATTTCCAATTTTTTTCAAAGGTTTTTTCCATCAAAAAAATCAGGACCCTTGACCCGGTTTTTTTATAAAAAATCCTCAGAATTCAGGTCGAAGGATTTATTTGTATAGAAAAAAATTCCGATTTTTTCCTAAGATATTTTTCCACAAAAAAAAAATGCTGGCACCTTTGACCCAGTTTTTTCTATCAAAAAATCCCCGGAAATCAGGTCAGAAGGAAATTAAAGGAAAAAAATCCATTCAGGATATATTTATTTATTTTGGGAGCCCGTAGCCTCATAAGCCCTCTTAGGCTATAGTCATCAAATTTTTTCCACAAAACAAAAATTCTGAGACCCTTGATCTGGATCTTTTTCCATTTAAAAATCTTCAGAATTCGGCCCGAATTTTTCCAAAGAATTTTTGGAAAGAAAAAAAGTTCGAGACCCTTTATCTGGTTTTTTATAACAATTCTCAGAATTCAGGTCAGATGGTTATAGTAATCAAATTTTTAGAATTTTTTTCACAAAGCAAAAATTCTGAGACCCTTGATCTGGATCTTTTCCCATTTAAAAATCTTCAGAATTCAGCCCGAATATTTCCAAAGAATTTTTTGCAAAAAAAAATTTCGAGAACCTTGACCTGGTTTTTTATAAAAATTTTCAGAATTCAGGTCAGATGGTTTTTTGTATAGAAAAAATCCGAGAGACCACAATTAGTCGATGCCCTGTTTTCTTATCTAAAAAACTTCCGAGACATCCGGTTGAGGTTGAGATTTTTCCATTAAAAATTCCGAGACCCCTGGTTGAGGTTGGATTTGTTTTTATAGGAAACAATTCCGATACCCCTCGGCAGAGCTGGGTTTTTTCGTCAAGAAAAAAATCCGAGAGACAACCCTCGAGCTTGGGTTTTTTGTATAGAAAAAAATCGGAGAGATCACCCTTCGTTTCAATAGGAAAAAATTTCGAGGCCACCCTAGTTTCGAGCTGGATTTTTTCGTCTAGAAAAAATTCGCAAGAGACCACCCTTGGTCTCGAGCTGGATTTTTTCGTCTAGAAAAAATGCGCAAGAGACCACCCTTGGTCTCGAGCTGGATTTTTTCGTCTAGAAAAAATGCGCAAGAGACCACCCTTGGTCTCGAGCTGGATTTTTTCGTCTAGAAAAAATGCGCAAGAGACCACCCTTGGTCTCGAGCTGGATTTTTTCGTCTAGAAAAAACGCGCAAGAGACCACCCTTGGTCTCGAGCTGGATTTTTTCGTCTAGAAAAAATGCGCAAGAGACCACCCTTGGTCTCGAGCTGGATTTTTTCGTCTAGAAAAAATTCGCAAGAGACCACCCTTGGTATCGAGTCTGGTCGAGTCTGGTTTTTTTTCGCCTAGAAAAAAATCCCGAGACCCCTGGTCGAGCCTGGATTTTTTCGTATAGAAAAAATTCCGAGACCCCTGGTCGAGCCTGGATTTTTTCGTATAGAAAAAATTCCGAGACCCCTGGTCGAGCCTGGATTTTTTCGTATAGAAAAAATTCCGAGACCCCTGGTCGAGCCTGGATTTTTTCGTATAGAAAAAATTCCGAGACCCCTGGTCGAGCCTGGATTTTTTCGTATAGAAAAAATTCCGAGACCCCTGGTTGAGTTTGTTTTTTTTTTCAGAAAAATCTCCGACCTTAAAATATTTATTTCCCCTAAAAATAATTGTATTTTCCATTCAAATTCCCCATTTTACCACTTTTTCCAAAATGCGTATGATGTACGCCACCAATCATACGCCCCATTGCCTGCTGCATTAATATTACTTAGACGCCCCGAGGGGGACCTTAAAATCAATATTTGTTTATTTTCCTTAACTTATATTTGCATTTATTTTCTCTTTTTTTCCCCCGCACCGCCTAGAACCATATTCTCTGCGACCTGCACTTTGCAGACGTTGCCCTCATGGAGTGCTCCGATTTTATGCAACAGCTGAGAAGCTTTAAACCCCAGTCATTAGGTTGTGCTGTTGCTCGTCGCAAAAGTTCGACAACATTAATATTTCCACTGCCACCGCAGGCATGTTCAGGTAAGTGAAACGCAATTTTCCATAATGAAAATTTACAATGTAGCAGGGTAGGGGGGGAGGAAATGTAAATAAAATAAAAATTTATGGAGTCATGGGGAAGGGGAAACCCCTAAAAATATGCTACAACTGGCGGTATGCCAAAAATATCATAAAATCATAGTTTTAAGTTTCCGGGGGGAAAATTCTATTTCCAGGCCAAAGGCATGTTGGGGACACAGAGCTCTCATCCCCATGGAGATGGCACCCGGCAAGTGCCCGTCATTTGCCATAATTATGATTTGAATTAAGGACACAAATATTCATTTTCATATTCATATTGTCAAAGGACCTTAGAGTCCTGGCGGGCAAAATCTACTGCCTTTATGGCCAGACTCATACCCACAATGTCTATCCCTCTCCCCCTCTCCATTCCTGTTATCCTTTTGTTAGTTTCATATTTCAAGGATAATTTACTAAACAAACAATTTGCTCCATCGCAACTTGGCCATGTGAACAGCAGATGCCAGACTATTTGCCAAGGAATCATCGACATCAAGCTGAGGAGGATATTTTTAAAAATCCGCCCCTCTTATCCACCCCTTATACAACAATAAACTGTCCAACCTTAAGACAAAGGATAATTAAGGCCATATGGAATTATGAAAATCATAATCGAGATTTGTTTATTTGAAACGGAAATGAAGTTCGTAAAAAGAAATTCTAAACTAGTTTATCCTTTTAATTGCGGGCCAAGAAAATTATGAAGACAAACATATTTGCCGCCAGAGTCTAAATAACAATTAAAATTAATAGCAATCATACGCATGATGGGCCGGACGGTCACAGACAATGAAATAATAATAGTCATACGCTCCAGTGGTTTGGAGAAAAAATATTTAATTAATTAATTTAGGGGTATAATTAAGTAGTAAATGAAATGTTAGAAATGAAAAAAGGTCTCTAGAGGGTGCCCTGATCCACCTGCTTGGGGTCTTTTTTCATTTCTTGAATTTCTTCTACGGAAAAATTCCGCCCATGGAGTCTGAGAATTTTTCTTTAAAAACAGACTCAGAGTCAGATATTTTTTTAAAGGAAAAAATCCTCCTCTGGTTGGTAAGAATTTTTGATATCAGTCCCAGAGGTATGGGATTTTTTCGTAGTCAAAAAAATCCCATCCCTGGTATGTGACATTTTTTCTAAAAAAAAATCTCCAATAAAAATTCTCTCCATGGAGTCTGAGAATTTTTTCTATAAAAACAGCCTCAAAGTTTGAGATTTTTTTCAAAGGAGAAAAATCCTCTGCTGCTTTGTATGAATTCTTTATATCAGAAAAACCTCAATTTTTTCTAGGGAAAAATATTCCATCCCTGGTGTGTTAAAATTTTTTCTAAGAAAAATCTCCGACAAATATTCCGTCCAAGGAGTCAGAGAATTTTTCCTTAAAAAAACAGCCTCGGGCTATGAGATTTTTTTAAAAAGGGAACAATCCTCTTCTGCTTTGTAAGAATTTTGATATTAGAAAAACCTAAGACCCAGAGTTCTGAGAAAAAAATTTTAGATAAAAAATCCCATTTCTGGCTTGTTACATTATTTTCTAAGAAAAAAAATTAAAACAAATTCCGTCCATGGAGTCTGAATTTTTTTCTATAAAAGTTTGAGATGTTCTGTTTCTTTTTTTTAAGGAGAAAAATCCTCTTCTGTTTTGTGAGAATTTTTTATATCAGTCTGCCAATTTTTCTAGGATAAAAAATTCCATTCCTGGTATGTAAAAATTTTTTCTAAAAAAATCTCCGACAAATATTCCTTTCATGGAGTCAAAGAATTTTTTTCCATAAAACAGCCTCAGTTTTAGATTTTTTTCAAAGGGGAAAAGTCCTCCTCTGGTTTGTGAAAAATTTATACATCAGAAAAAACTCAGTCCCAGAAATAAGAGAATTTTTTCTAGTGAAAAAAATCCCATCCCTGGTGTGTAACATTTAAAATATATGTCTCCAACAAATATTCCGTCCATGGAGTCTGAGAATTTTTCCTTAAAAAACAGAGTCTGAGATTTTTATTTTCAAAAGAATTTTTTATATCAGAAAAACCTTAGACCCAGAGGTCTGAGAAAATTTTTGAAAAATCCCATCTCTGCCCTGTCACAGTTTTTTCTAAGAAAAAAAAAACCCTAGAAAAAATTCCGTCCGTGAAGTCTGAATTCTTTTTCTTTAAATGTTCAGATTTCTTGTTTTTTTTTTTTTTTCTCTAAGAAAAATGCCCGACAAATATTCCGTCCATGAAGTCTGAGAATTTTTCCTAAGACCTCAGTCTCTATGATATTTTTTCAAAGGCGAAACACCCTCCTTTGGTTTCTGAGAATTTTTGATATCAGAAAAACCTTAGACCCAGAGGTTTGAGAAAATTTGTTTAGATAAAAAACTCAATCTCTGGCATGTCACAGTTTTTTCTAAGAAAAAAAAAAACTAAGAAAAAATTCCGTGCATGGAGTCTGAATTTTTTTTCTATAAATGTTGAGATTTTTTTTTTTTTTTTTTTTTTTCAAAGGAGAAAAATCCTTCTCTGTTTTGTGAGATTTTTTTATATTAGAAAAAACTCAGTCCCACAGGTCTGAGAAATTTTTCTAGGGAAAAAAATTCCATCCCTGGTATGGGACATTCTAAGAAAAATCTCCGACAAAAATTCTTTCCATGCAGTCTGAGAATTTTTCCTATAAAAAACAGCCTCAGGCTCTGAGATATTTTTTCAAAGGCGAAACCTCCTCCTTTGGTTTGTAAGAATTTTGATATTAGAAAAAAATTAAAACCAGAGGTCTGACAAAAATTTTTTAGATAAAAAATCCCATCTCTGGCATGTCACAGTTTTTTTCTAAGAAAAAAAAAAACTAAGAAAAAATTCCGTCCATGGAGTCTGATTTTTTTTCTATAAAAGTTTGAGATTTCTTGTTTTTTTTTTTCAAAGGAAAAAATCCTCCTTTGTTTTGTGAGAATTTTTTATATCAGAAAAACCTCAGTCCTAGAAGTATGAAAATTTTTTCTAGAGAAAAAATTCCATCCCTGGTATGTGAAAATTTTTTTCTAAGAAAAATCTCCGACAAATATTCCGTCCATGGAGTCTGAGAATTTTTCCTTAAAAAAACAGCCTCGAGCTATGCGATATTTTTGCAGGGAGACCCATCCTCCTCTGGTTTGTGAGAATTTTTTATATCAGAAAAACCTTAGACCCTGAGGTCTGAGAATTTTTTCTAGATAAAAATCCCATCTCTGGTACCTCACAATTTTTTCTAAGAAAAAAAAGCAAATTAGAAAAAATTCCGTCCTTGGAGTTTTCAAAGGAAATAAAATCCTCCTCTGATTTGTAAGAATTGTTGATATCAGAAAAATCTCAGTCCCAGAGATCTGAAATTTTTTTCTAGTGAAAAAAAAAATTAGAAAATATCTCCGACAAAAATTCTGTCCCTGGAGTCTGAGATTTTTTTTTCTATTAAAGCAGGCTCAGTCTCTGAGATATTTTTTAAAAGGAGAACAATCCTCCTCTGGTCTTTGGAATTTTTTTGATATCAGAAAACCTCAGTCCCAGACTTCTGAAATTTTTTCTTTAGAAAAAAATTCCATCCCTAGTAGGTGACAATTTTTCTAAGAAAAAAAAAATATTTCCGAAAAAATCCGTCCAGGAAATCTAATTTTTTTCCTTAAAAAACCCGCCTCAGATCTGATTAGTGAGAATTTGTGATATCAAAAAAACCTCAGTCTCAGAGACTTTACAATATTTTCTACGAAAAATAAAAATCCCATCCCTCCCATCCATTTTTTTTTCCAATTTTTCTATGTAAGAATTGCTTCCTACCAAAAAAAATCTCCATCCCTGGGTTGTAAGAATTTTTTCTTGAAACTTCCATCCCTGGTATATGAGATTCTTCTCAATCTCTCTAGGTAGTTAATATTATAGATATTTTTCAAAGGAGAAAAATTCTTCTCTAGTTAGTGAGAATTTTTGATATTAAAAAAACCTCAGTCCCAGAGACCTTACAATATTTTCTAGAAAATAAAATTCCATCCCCGAACTGTAACAATTTTTCCCATTTTTCTATGGAAAAAAACCTGCAATCTGGGACTGTAAGAATTGCTTCCTACCAAAAAAAAAACTACATCCCTGGGTTGTAAGAATTTGTTTCATCGATAAAACTTCCATCCCTGGCATGTGTAATTTCTTTTTTCAAAGGAAAAATATCGATTTCAGGTTTGTTAGAATTGTTTAAATTAGAAAAAAGACAATTTGTGGCTATGAAAATAGTTTGTGTCCTGAAAACTTCCATCCCTGGCATATGAGATTCTTTTCACTATCTTCACGTTGTTAAAATGTTTCTGTTGGAAAACATTTCCAATCTGAAACTATAAATATTATTTCCTTTAAAAAAATCCATCCCTGGGTTGTAAGATTTTTTTTCTATCAAATGAGCATTTTTTCTATGAAAAAAATCTCCATTCCCAGGTGGTTAGAATTTTTCAAATTAGAAAAAAATTCCAATCTGTGGCTATGAAAACGTTTTATGTCGAGAAAACTTCCATCCCTGGTATGTGAGATTAGGAGTTAAAATTTTTCTATTGTCCCCTCAATCTGGGTCTGTAAAAATTGTTTCCTACCAAATAAAAAAAACTCCATTCCTGGGTTTCCATCCCCGGTATATTTTTTGAAGAGAAAATCTCCATTTCGGGGCTGTTAGAAATTTCTAAATTAGAAAAAACCTCCAATCTGTGACTGTGAAAAAGTTTTTTTATTCAGAAAACTTCCATCCCTGGTATATGAGAATCTTTTTACTATCTCCAAGTAGTAAAACTTTTTCTATTTAAAAAACCTTCAATATGCCACTTTAAAAATTATTCCATCTCAAAAAAAAACTGCAAAAATGTTTTATATCGACAAAACATCCATCCCTGGCATATGAGAATTTTTTTCTAAAGGAAAAATCTCCATATTTGTGTTGTTAGAAATTTCTAAATTAGAAAAAAATCCAATCTGTGACT